AAGCGGTGCCTGCTACATGACTTTAAACAGATACTTTGAGCGCACGGTCTTTATTTCCTGCTTCCCACTTCTCATGATCTCTAGAAAGTGATAAATTCCCTTACTATACATGATCTCTAGAAAACGGTAAATGTAATTTTACAATAAATGACCTGCAACCATACCAAACGAATAATAAGAATCCGCAAAAACAAACTCAATACGTGGCGAAAGCTCGAAGGGCGCCGCAAGCTAGCATCAATAACAAATAGCGTCAGAAGTGTGAACTATATAGGCAAGCAAAGCGTATCCATCACAAATGAATATGTATAAGACAAAGCAAAAAAGTCAAAGGAGCATAAGATAGTATTCCCGGACAACAACCTCATACTCATGAAAATTGATGCAAAAACCGGTTTAGAAACATCCAAACTTGCTATCGATATTGAAGAAATGCTCAAATAAGTACACCAATGTATTATTCACAAGCCAAAACTCAATGCACATATAAAATATAAGTTCTGGACAGCATTATGTGCATTTTAATATTCATCATGAATCAATTTAGAAATCAAAGTTTAGTGCATCAATCTTGAATATTAACATGAGAAGGTTATCCGAAACGTGCACATGAACATGTAACCTTAAGATTGATCTAAAAATCAAGAATTAAAGTCTTAAAACCACATGAATTTAATGTATTGGAATTTAACCAAAAAAATGCAAATCAAATCCAATTCATAAGTTTATGTATTTATGCCAAAAGTGTGATGAATAGGAATTAACTCACAATTTTTCAAACGCAAAAGTTATGAATCAAAATGTATTCTGATATGATAAATTCACAAAGTTTCTCAAGCAATTAATTGAAATTAATTGATGTTACTTGACATCTAAGTATAAACTAACACACAAAAATGTATCACAATTCAAAAATGAAACACAAGATAATATGCAAAAACTTTAATCGAAAAGTTAGAAAACTAATCGAAAAGCATCCAGAATTAACCGCAAAAATTAAGGTAACCTAGAAACGTGCCAACGGTTCGGTCAAATTTCACTATGAAATATGATTTTTGAAACTGCTACAGTAGCAGAAAAATTGAACGAAATTTGTCAGAATCGAAAAAGTACTCGCGAGAGAGATTCCGGATGGCTCAAGAAAATAAGTTTTAATTAAAAAAAAGTTGGAAAAACTCATCACAGATCAAAAGTTAGAGCAAAAACAACAATTATGTCAAACTTTGGATTAATTAGTAAGTTCAAGAATTAACACAATCTCATAAATCAAACTATCTAATGTCAATTTCCTTCAATATTTTGACATCAAGAATTGATTTCATCAAAAAATCATAATTAAACTAATCTATGTTAGTTCATGCCACAAAGCCTAGATCAATGTTAGTATCTAAACTAACCTAAACTTTTAACAACTTCTACATCAAGAATTAGAAACTAGTTGTTAATCTATCAAGAATTCAAAAATTTCAAACTACACCAAAAATTAGTATCTAAACTAACCTAAGTGTTAGTGTTAACTAGTTTTCTACATCTAATTCCACTTAAAGTCAAGAATCTAACACATTCCTAAATTCAATACTCAACCTAATTTTTAATCTAATTCTTGAATCAACCTAAACACTAGTGTAACTACACCTAAGGCTAAAAATCAACACAATAACACTATGTCAATTTCAAGTTACAACCAAAATCAACTTCCCAAGTTTAATTAATCACTTATTTCAAAAAATAATTCAACAAAAAATGGAATTAAATCCTCAATTCAAATCAATTTTCAACAATTAAGCCTCAATTATACAATTAAAACCTCAATCAACAACAAAATCAAGAAAAATACTTATTCAAAAAATCACTTATTTCACAAAGCGCTTAATTCAAGAAAACTCACTGATAGAAGTGAAGATGAGACTTAGATATAGAGATCGCAACGAACGGATCAACAATTGGAGAAAATTTCTCTTGATCTTGACTTTTGGATCTTGATGAAGCTGTTGTTGTTTTCTTGAACAAAATTGAGAGAAAATTGAGTTTAATCCTTGAGAGAAAAATTTAGAGTGTTTGTGGAGATTTGTGAGTTATTAGAGAAATTGGAGTAAAAAAAGAATATATAGTATGAGTTTATGTGAGTGAATTTGGTTAATGAGCCTCAAATATCCACAAATATTAATGCAGAATTTTAATTCACTTGAGTGCGACACGTTCCGGACAAATTCGCATGAACTTCGGTGCGATTTTTGAAGTTAAAATGTGAAACCAAAATATAGCCGACATTGAGAACGTTTCCTGTCTGGAAATGAGCTCAATCGGATAAACGATGATTTAGTTATGAACTTTTGAAATTTCGCCTCAGACAACTTTAATTTCCAGCTTCAGAATTTTCAGTGAGTTGCACACGCTTTGGGCTAAAAACGGAAGCCTTCTGAGTACCGTTTGCTCTTGAAAATTGAAATCGAAATTTAGCTAACTCAATTTGTAAGACAATGACACTAGAGCGGGATCAATACAATAAAAATAGACCAAATTATGATTTTTTGGATGTGGTGCAGATAAACGTTTGCCATAATTTTTCTGTGTGAAAATACTTGATAAATCTACATTTTCAAGGCCTTTCTGAGCAGAAGTAGCTTTCGATCGTGACAGATGAAAATGTAGATAATGTCGAGACGAAATTTTGGCCACCGAAACGGGTTCAAAATGAGCCACATGCTTTAAGTTATGAATTTTTTAATGTCCAAAAACTGCACCTTCAACATACTTTTTCACTGTATTTCTTCGAGAAAACTCACACATTCGGAGACCTTCTTCAAACGATTGGTTTTTCAAGCCGAACTTGAATTTGAGGATATATCATTGTGGATATCTTGGTGAAAGAACACCTAAACATGACGAACCAGATTAGATTTATGAATTTTCTGAAACCCACACCAACGACGAACCTATCCTTAACATGGAAAATACTCTGAGAGCGTCCATTAACGAAATAAACATCTTCTATAAAATGCCGAGGCTTGCCATAAGTATTAGAGCATTTGCAACTGGTATATATGATTTAGTCACACCTTTTGAATCAGTGAATGCATTTGGTAGTTGATTTGCTAAGCTTTTCAAGTGAATTATCTTTTGAACTTCTAGCTCACATTGTTTTGTTCGAGGATCAAGATGAGATAATGATAATTTATTCCAAATGATCTCTTTTTTCATCTTCTTATTCTCTCCCCCAATGCTGAAAAATTTGATTTATCAAAATGACAATCAGCAAAACGAGCAGTGAATAAATCTCCTGTTGTTGGTTCAAAGTATTTTATAATAGATGGAAATTCATATCCAACATATATTTCCATCCTCCTTTAAAGACCCATCTTAGTGCATTATGGTATATAAATTGACATATACACCGCACATCCAAAAATTCTTAGATGGAAAATATTAGGTTCTTTACCAAAAACTAATTCTAAAGGGGAAGAGGTGCGACAACTCGTTGGCCTGATGCGAATCAATGTTGCATCATGTAAAATTGTATGTCCCCAAGCAGAAACTGGGAGTTTGCATCTCATAATAAGCGGTCCTGCAATTAATTTTATATGTTTGATAAATGATTCTGCAAGTCTATTTTGTGTATGAACATGTGCTACTGTATGTTCAATGTCAATTCCAATAGACATACAATATTAATTAAATGCTCGAGTTGAAAATTCTACAGCATTATCAATATTTATTTTCTTGATTGGATAATTTGGAAATTGAGCTCTTATTCGAATTAGTTGAGCTAACAATCTTGCAAACGTTTGGTTGTGAGTTGACAATAAACAAACATGTGATCATCTAGTTGATGCATACACTAAAACCATAAAATATCTAAATGGTCCATATGATGGGTATATTGGACCACCGATATCACCATGTATATGCTCTAGAAAATTGATAGATTCATTTTCAATTTTTGTTGGTGATGGACGAATTATCAATTTCCCTTACGAGCAAGAGTTGCATGAGAACTTATTTGATTGAATTATTTCCCGACTCATTAATTGATGACCGCATGAATTTTCAATTATTTTTCGCATCATTATATAACCGGGATGGCCCAACCGGTCATGCCAAATTACAAATTTATTATTATTTGTAAAATTCTGGTTTACAATGGCATGTGCTTTAATTGTACTAATATAAGTGTAGTACAAGCCCGAGGAAAAAGCCGATAGCTTTTCCATCACACATTTGCTGTCCAAATTCTGTTGTGTAATACAAAGATATTCAATACCTCCATCATCTTTTATTTCAATATGGTAGCCATTTAGGCGAATATCTTTGAAACTTAATAAAATTCTATTAGATTTAGAGGAATATAGTGCATTCTCAATGTGTAATATTGTTCCTCCATTTAACAATACACTGGCTCTTCCGGAGCCTTCAATTATTTTTGAGGTGCTAGACATAGTGCTGACATCAGTATTTCGCTTTACTAAGTAAGAAAAACATTTTTTATCTTTGAAAATTGTGTGAGAAGTTGCACTATCAATGAAGCAAATATCTTCATTAGTGACGTAAGTGGCGACATTCATTCTTCTTCTAAGTGTCGGAGTTTCGTGCTGATAACATGTTGTGAAAATATAGAGAAATAAGGAATAAAGAGAAGAGAGAAAGATAGAATGATTTTGTATGATTTCATCGGTGTAATAATATATAATGAGATCATATGAACAATATAATAAATACAAATTGATTAAATAAAAAATAAAATTATTGAGAGACAAATCATTCAGTTATTCATAACAATTTGTATTGTATTTTTTAGCAATGAATTTTATCTAAAATATTTTCTTAGTTGTAGTTAAATAAATTGAAAATAAATAAATAAATAAAAATTTAAGAATAATTAATCTTTGTTGATGATATAATGAGAGAATTATTTTGGGAAAATGAGGCGGTGTGAATTTTGCAGGAAAAGAAAAGAAAGTGTTATCCAAATCGAAAAATGATAGGATAGAAATTGGGAAGGGATGAGTAGCATGGCCATGGCGTGTGGAGGTTGCTACCACTACTACTGCCCCTCACAACACCCACTCTTCCCTAGCTCATCCTCCTCCTCCTCCTCCTCCTCACAGTCGAAGCGTGCTACTACTGTATTAGTTTCTCTTTCCAAATCCAACAAGAATGGCGAAATTGATAAATCCGAGTGTATTAAAGGATCTGGAACCACCGCTAGAGGTCGAAGATTGCTCAGAATCCGACAAGACAAACAGCAACGCGAACATGAACGACTTCACAATTACCCTGCTTGGGCTAAGTAACTACACTACTAGTAATTCATTCTTGTACACTATTTCATTTCATTTTAAATAATGCTGCTGCTTTCAAAATCTATGTATAGAGTCCTTGAAGATGCGTGCAAAAACGATACTGAACTCAGGACTGTACTTGGTGATAGTATCGGAAACCCTCAACTCATGAAGGAGCGGGTCTGTTTCTTACTTACACACTCTATTATTTCTTCAATCAATGATTTTCCTTAATCCCATTATTTTCAGGTGGAAGATAGAATTCGAAAGAAGGGTAAAGACTTTCGCAAGTCCAAAACTGGATCTGTTGTAGCCGCCAAAGTCACCTTTAGAGAGTATCTACTACTATTCTTATTCTTATTCCATACCATCCTAACATCCGCCCTAATTATTATCATACGCGCGTCTTGCTTGCAGCTTCAATCCACTTGATTCCTTTATCTGGTTTGAATTGTACGGATCACCCACTGATCGCGATGTTAATCTAATTGGCAGTGTAACTCTTTCATTTTGCTTACTTTACCTTTCTAATGTATTATATACTTACTTTCATTATATCTTACTCTCACCTCATTCATCTCAATTAGGTTATTCAAGGATGGTATGTCATGGGTCGAGTTGGTGCCTTCAATTCTTCAAACTTGCAGGTACTTAGTAGCCTCTCTGCATCTACATGGGGATTATTGCATAGTTGCTTGCTTGAAATATTTTAGCTGTTAGACCTCTATTGCTGTTGTTGATAATATCCATGTCTCTTCAGATATAAGTTCCAGGGTCACTTTCTCTGCCTATCTGACTGTTTTCTTAATATCCATGTCTCTATTGCTGATAATAGCAAGAAGAGTAACAATGGAATACATTGCATAGTTTACTTCATTTTACTTTCCGGAAATATTGTCAATTATAGCTTACTGTAAACTGCAGTAGTCATGATCTGAATCATCTGATTGCTTCAGCTATAAGTCATAGAACACTATTAATTATTTCTAGTTTCCAACATGTGTGTAAAGAAAGAATTGAAGTGTCTTTAATTGATGACAGATGTCAAATTCGTCAATGGAGCATGATCCTCTCTATGATTCAGATAAGGGTTTCAAAGTGATGCCATCATCTTTCCATGATATCGGGGACGTTGAATTCCAGGATAATTGGGGACGTGTATGGTATACTATCGAGAACTCGTTCTCAATTTTGTAAAGATTTATTTTATGACATTGCAATGGACAGAGGTTGAAAGCATTAAATGATACAGATTAAGTTATTAACTACAACAACATAAACCACATTAAAACGCCTTTTCACTCTAGGAGGAACTGACAACATGGATCCTGTGATATCAGAAATCATGTCTTTTAACACTATTTAAACCCAAAACATTTTCAATAGTCTAGGCTATAGTTTTTTGTGGTCTCAATCTTCCTCCATTTATGGGACTATTCTCCATTTGATTTACTCTTCTTACTAAGTCTTTTAGAGATCTTCTCCACAATACATGCGTGTCCAAAACACTTAAGGCGAGATTTTACAATCTTTTCTGAATAGGTGCTAACCCAACTTTCTCTTTAAAGCAGCCATTCCTAATCATTTAGTTTCCCATTTATTTCTTGTATTGACTTTTCAATAATGACTATGCAATTCAAAAAAGGCATGTATGGGGAGCACTGTCCTTTGGATATGTTTAGCAAGTACATGAAACAAAATCAAGCTCAGTGATGTGGAGATTAAGAGAGAAATCACGAGAGAGAAAATTGGGTGGCTCCCATAATAGAAAAGATGCTTACAGTTTTGTATTGTATTGTTTAGAGTGTGGAGAAAACTAGTGGAAATACGCTAGGAAGAATATAGACCGGATGGAGAATTGTTCAATTGTGACCAAGGAAATTATAGGTCAAATCACTTAAGAAGATTTAGATTTATATTTAAATGGACTATCAATAGACTTGATTGACAAAACGGTATTATACATTAGTTGATTCATAAAATAGATTCCTTCTTGCGTCAAAAAAAGGCCCTGTCGTCAGCTAAATAGGTATTCAAAAGTAGGAAAGTTTTCTTTATTCTTATTCTTATACAATTTCTAGTATTTCGAACTAAAAATAATAGAGACTTCATAATTTAATATGAAAACAATTAATAACAATGTCATTTAGTTAAATACACGACTGCTGTAGAATATGAAAGCACAGTAGGGTATATTTTCAATCAAATTTCTCCACTAATTTGATATATAGTCGAGCCTTCATGGTATAATTTATAAGTTTTCATTAAAATGTAATTGTTTTTTATATATAGTATATAAATATGAAATATGAAATATGTGATTGATCAGAATTCCTGTTGGTTCAATATGTTTAAGCTTTAGACAAATCGTCCTTGCAGGGTGGACCTAGGTACGGCTGATTATTTTGCCATTGATGTGCTTCTCAACTGCCTAACTTGTTTAAGTTCAGAGTAAGTTTGAATTACCAAACTACATGTAATAAAAATATAAAGAATATATGTTACCATTCGCCGAAGATCACTTTTATTTTGTCTGTTATGCCAAAGTTATTGACCCTTCCCCGAATGTCAGATATCTTGGTATCCAACAAATCGTGTTTGGTGGTCGGAGCATGGGTGATTGGGAAGAGGGGATGACAGACCCTGAGTATGGTTACAAGTCCTTCAAGATATAAACAGGGACCAGATGCAGTTTATCCCTTGCATTCGGATTTTGGTTCGGAAAATGGCAGCGCGCAGGGGGCAATAACTATATGCATTGATAAGAACACTTCCTTGGGTGTGATAGTTAATTTTAATTCCCAAAGTTGTACTTGGTTACCACTTGCCAGTAGGTTTTCTTGCACTGAATGGAGCCAAAAGCCTTGAGATTCAACTGTGTTGTGTTGTGACTGACATGAGAAATGATAGATTTAGTGAGACAGTAGAATAGGACCTGCTTGTGAGGTTTTTTTTTCATTTCAAATCTCATGCTAGAATGATGTATCAAAATATAGGTAGATTTATCACAAAATTAGGTTTGATAATATGGTGATATGCAGTGTAAAACAAGCATATTCAGTAATGTTTGTATTCTGGATTAAACTATGTCATCTTGTTCCTACAAATAAAGTACACAATATTATTGAATCACACCCGATATGCGCTGATACACTCCAAAATGTTGCGGATGAGTAATCTTTTTAAAGCAAAAACATATATTCCGATATGTTGTGATTTGGCAGTGACGCGTCTGTGATAAGCAACAGATATAAATTCGAGGGCTTTGGGTAGGAAGTAAAGAATACAAAGAAGGGATATGAATTCAAGGGCTTTGAGTAGTAAGTAAAGAATACAAAGAAGGGAGTACTAAGGTGTGGGACGTTGTTGGAGATGCATGAGAACGTTTTGATGGTGTTGGAACACTTGTAGTTACATTATTGTATCTTAATAAAATAAACGTCTATTGTTTTCTTTTATTTCAATATGGGATTCATATTCTATTGGGAAGACAATCCTTTATTGGAATACAGTTCTTTACCTTGCTTACGTAGTTGATTTATTGTCTTCTGGTGAATTTTTTTCTCCAGCAAATAGTGTCAAGAGTTTACATCATAACATGCTTATTTATAGGCAACTCAAACATACACTTCGAAACAATAACTCTATAATGTATTTGACACTATCGAATACAATTAACTCCTCCTTAATAAACTTGCTACTTTGATTAATTCGAACACAAGTAAATCGAATACAACTTGCATTCTAAAACATTGAATTACAACTTCAAACATTTTGTAACATATTTCTTTTGTAATTAATACTCTTAGCGTGTTAGTTACTTTACGATAGAATTTCAATGTAAGTAGCATCATCATTAGGATTTTGTAATGTAACCCCAGTTTTTATTAAGTTATTTAAATTGAGTTGTTTGGGATTTTTTTTAATCATTTATATGTATTTTATTTAATTATTGTGTGTGAATAATTAGATAAATAAGAGGGTATGTGTGTATGTCTTATAGATAGAGGTGTAGAGAATAAGTTGTGACTTGTTGGAGCTGATAGAAATCACTTAGAATTATTTAGAATTTTAATAATTAGAATAAAGAGTATTTTCATTGTTTTTAAATAAATAAGAAAAGAGAATAGTAAGAGATGGAATTGAATTGTGAATTAGTATAAATATTGGGGTGAGGGAGTGAGGGAAGAGATTAAGTGAGGTGGAAACTGATTTAAATTAGATTAGTCTAATATTTAAGATTAAGAGAGAGCTAATCTAAAATCTGTCAGTACGTGCAATTGAGAGAGAAAAATGCAAAGAGGCTAGGAACAAATGGGAGAAGAAGAAGGCTACAAATTGAGGGAGGATCATCAACCAAACCAAAGTTTTATCGCTATTAGGATCACCTGGCAAGGGGGAGAATAACCTTAATAAAGGGTATATAATGACGGGTAGGGTAGATGAGTCTTTAATCTCTAATAGGGTATTTTGCATTGATTAGCTCTGAGTTTTTATATTGTTATAATGTTGTTGGCTGAATTGATGATGAATTTTCGTACATGATTATGTATGGTGTTACTATTTTGGAATTGTTGACGTTTTTCTCCATTGATGGACTTTTAAAGGTTTTAGGGGTATTGTGAAATTACGAGGAATAGTGATTAATCTGTTAAGTTGATGAAATAAGATGTAAACAATAGGTAATTTATCTATAATAGTAGATTTTTGAAATAATCTATTTGGACATGTTAGAGCATGTTTGTGATAGGTCTAAGTTGAAAAAAATGAGCTTATAATTGAAATTCATGTGAAAAATTAGCAGAAAAATGCTACAGACAAAATTGATTCGAATCATAACTTTTACACTGTGAATTTGATTCGAATCATGGCCTTCTGGGAGTCTCTGCTCAATTTTATTTGAATCACATTTTACACTTGATCCGAATCAGAAAGACAAATTTTGTTCAAAATACTGTTTTCATCATAACTTGAGATCCGTGACTCCAAATGATGCGTTGTTCGAAGTGTTGGAAAGTTACCGTGAATTACCATCAAATGAAATTGTTTTTAGGACTGAATGTATTGTGATAACATGAGTATTTAATGAGGATTACATGGATTTTGGATGTTATGTTGATGATGATGAGAGTTATTAACTTTGAAATTATTTAATCAAGTAAATGTTGAATTATGAAATTTTAATCTTGTGATGATGTTATGATGTTTGAGAATATTAATTATAATTGGTTAATGATGAAATGGTTGAATATTGTTGATGTTGTGTTGGATGAATATGAGTTTGTTAGCTAGATTTTTCAATGATAGAGTATAAAGGATCAAAAGTCGAAGACTAAGTTATTGTTGAGAGAGATGTCTTGTGAAAGTTTCGGCTGTTTGTTTTCTAAATGGACGGTCGAAAATCAAACTACATAGAAAATTAAAGGAAGCCTTTATGTTAAAGAAATACGCAGTATTTGAAATTCGAATTCGAATGACGATATTGGGATTTGACGTTCTCTGCAATAGAAATATTCGAAATTAAAAGTCCTTTAATCCTATTCAGAACACGCGTGGGTCTGATATTTCGAAGAACTTGCATGTCACGAACGTGGAATTTAGATGTAGAAAGACCGTTAAGGTCGAATTAGTATATATATGAGTCTTAGTGATCAGATTCAGGGTGTTCATTCGTTTATACAAAATCTCACATAAACTCAAAGTATCTGCATATTGAGAAAAAAGTGCTCTAAGAAATATACATGTAAACATCATCTTTTATTTTAATACAAGTTATTATTCCAGAATTTACTTTTAGCAATTTACTTTCAACTGTCTTTATTGTACTTTCTTTACAAGTTTTTTTATAAGTTTACTTTGAAGACTCGTTTAGATCAAAACTAATATTATTAAAGAAATATTAATGCTGTCGAAGTATTATTTGTTTCAAAGAACAAAGTTTAAATAAGAACACATGTCCTAGGATCAATCTAGTCGATCCTATCAGTAACTAAGGACTTTTTTGTTTTTGTTTTTAGAGGACTAGCGCTTGTTTACCAATTTTCATAGTAAACAAATTGCCATGCCCAGTGGGACCTGTGTTCAATTAAAAATATTTTTGTTCATGTGATTTTTTTTTTTAAAATCCGCATCATATATTGTATTTTACTTCGTTGCATGAGACTTAGAAGTGGTAAATTAGCCACAAACAACAAGGAAATACCCAAAAAAAAATATATTAGGAAAATGGAAAACCAAATTCATCCAGGTAATCAAAATCCTCCTAACAATGATGAGGTACCACCCCCAGTCACTTCGACAAGAGAAACTACAGTTTCTGCGCCTTTGTCAGAGGTTATACTGTCTTCAACAAGTTCGACGCTAATGCAATCGAACACTTATACTGACCCTATTTTGACTTATATAGGACCACAAGGTCTACCAGGGACCCCCCCCTCTTTAGGGGGAAATGCTTTCCATAGGCCTCAAGGGCCTCCTGGTTTTTCTATGCCTCTAAATGGCCGCGAACGGCCTTACGACATGCCATCATCGTTTATGGTTGGTTTGCATAACTCCACTTCAACTTATTCAGATCCTGTAATGAGCGTTAATTCGTAATTACAAGGTTCTGGGTCTGCTATTAATAACATGGATCGAACGATTCAACCTTTTCAAGAAGGATCTTCCTTCCAAATTCCAAACTTGACAAATCACTCTGTAACAGTAATTAGGCAACAAATGGAAGAAATTAACCATGAAATGGTCCAAATTATTATGCACACAATGGGTATAATTTTCAACCCTTTGATACAAAACACCACTCAAGTGAACCAACAAATGGCAGCACAAATGACGCACATCGCTGAATTCTTTGGTGTGCCTTAACCCCCACCAAGTCCTCAAAGGGAATGGGTTAGGGAAAATCAAGGGGTAACCTTTGAAGAAGACCCAACGATTAACCAAGTTCAACATAATCAAATAAATACACCATAGGAGAATGTGGTAAATCAAAGAGGGGCCGTTGAAATACCTAGAATTGCGAATGTCGAAATACCTAAAGCCGAACCTCTTAGACAGGAACCACAAATTCTAAGGGAGCCCAAACCTAGGGTTATGATGGTGAATAGAAATTAAAATGCTGATGAAGTCATATATCAAGTTCGACAAGATAATATAGCAGCAGACAATAATCTGGCAGCCATGGTCGAAAGGATTATGACTCGAAATGGTATGAATATTGGCCTTCATAAAACAAGTTACACTTCACCATTGAGTGAGTATATATTACAAACGTATATACCTCCTAGATGGAAAGTCCTCAAATTTACCAAAGTTTCTAGGGACACTACTGAGTCCACTGTCGAACATGTGACTAGATACCTGATAGAGGCAGGGGAAATAGCCAATAATAAAAATCTTAGGATTAAATACTTCCCAAGTTCACTAACGAAGAATGCCTTCACGTGGTTTACAACATTACTAGCGAATTCGGTCCATAGTTGGGCTCAATTAGAAAGGTTGTTCCATGAATAATTTTACATGGGATAAACTAAGATTAGTTTAAAGGAGTTGCCAAGTGTTAAGCACAAATTTACTGAGCCTATAGATGATTATCTAAACAGATTTCGTTTGCTCAAAGCTAGATGTTTCACTCAGGTGCCTGAGTATGAGTTGGTCGAAATGGCCACATGGGGTC